CCCCAAAACCCCAAAACCCCAAAACCCCATAGGGACCATTTTAATTGCTCAGAGGAAATTAAATCGACGATTAATAACCAAATAGGATAACTATAATAATAAAATGGGAGCGAAATACAGCTAAAATAAAAGCAGAGATCATTAAATGTTTGGCAACAAAAGTTTCATATAAACACAGAGAAAAAGTCTACGATAGAAGAAAGATAAGTTTATAAGAAGCATGATAAACGATCAATTGGTGCTAGCTTAGTTCAACAAAGATGCTAATAATGAGATAATCTCAACATTCAAGGAACAAAAAGTGCGATCCACTGTAATAATTTGCTTATTCTCTCTATTGAATTTTTAATATAACAATTTAGTAAAGCTGGAAAGATTTTTCAGTTAATTACATAAAGAGGATTCAAAGTGAAACTGAGGAAATAATAAAACAAAGAGATTACGATATTGAAACAGATTTGGAATTTTATAGGAATAGATTGATACTTTACAAAAATCTCTCTTTGTAATTAATCAATATTATTAAACTCATTCCAATTCTATTTAGGATATTACAAGCATTAGAAGTTAATATTCATGAGTGGCAAGATAAGCCTTTCTATAAGAATTACATGCTATATTCATACATTGTAGAATCAGATTAGATAAAGAAACAAATACCACAAAATAAAAGCCAAATCTAAAGCTCTTCAATGATCAAACTACCTTGTGAAGATATACCTTTCAATAGATTAACAACAGCGCCTATTCAAAAGATTAATGGAGCTGGTATTATATCTGCTCCAATGACTCCTAAAATTCCTCATAGAAATTAAATTGAAGCTAAGAGATAATTAGAGGAGAAAAAAGATTAAGAAATTCTAAATGAAATAATAAAGTAGCTTAATAAAGGTTTAAAAAAGCGACAATATGTAAATCGGCCTTAGGAAACTTAAGTTGTTCTTACTACTTAACATTCACCTCGATCAGGGGGTTCTCCTAAAAAAATAACTAGAGAATAAGAGCCTATAAATATAGTTGTCGAAGTACATCCCATTAAGCTGTTAGCTACTGCCTTTTCAAAAAATATGCACGATATATATAAACCAATGTTTGCAACTCTACTAGCTGCTTTTAATGACATTAATGAACTTTTGTAATCTTAATAAAATAATTAAATGCAAGATATGAACAAGATAAACTATTCAGCTGATATGTACTTTAGTTTTAACGATAATTCAAACTTAATCAAAAGAGGAACGACATTTAACTATAAGGCAAACCCTATTGATCTTAAATAGAAGCAAGTGAAGATGACCTTTGCCAAGAATGATAAAAATCTTAATCAGCATTTTGGTATGAGTTTATAATAGCAGCTAGAGCACTTAAATGATGCCTTGGAGATACTGATTAGGAATGCCACGGAGGAAGTTAAACTATTTTTAGAAACAAGTCTAGTGTTTACATCTTACTTCTATAGGAAATCGATTAACATTGCATTTGATAAATTTGCATCAGCAATAATTGAAGTTATTACAAAAATAGTATTTGAGTCAAATGACAGTGTATTATTTCAAATGTTCTTTGAGCTATACAAACTCTAGAATATTAAAGAAATTTAGAGTCTCAAGGAATAAATTGAATGTTTCAAAGATGTTAAATTGGCAGATCTTAATGTCTATTTTAAGTGTGAAACTCATTATGAATTTGGCCACAAGGTAACCTAGGATACAGATAAAAATTCTAAATCACATTAGAATAAAGCTGATTTTGAATTGCTAGTTCAAAAATCTAAAGAAAAAGTGATGGCTAATTCAGAAGTGAAAGAGCCAATAAAAAGAAGCAGAACCTAATAGTAATTTCAATCAATTAAGATTGAGGATTCAAAGGATTAAAATTAAAATATTTAAAAGCAAAAATAGGAGACTATGCCTCAAGTGACCTGTGATAAAAAGATAAAACCAAACTTAATGTTTAAGTCTTCAGTAATTGCCATGAAAAGACTTAGTAGATGCAAAGACCCCTTGCAGATTCTAGACAATCTGATGAAGATCTATCAGCAAATCAGCTAATAATTCTCGATTTACAAATAAAAAGATGCAATCCTCATAGACTAAAATTTAATGAATTTAAGTTCAACTGACTAGTTGATTTAAGCAGATGACTTTGTTGCTATACTTATTTATGTAATTATAAAAGCTGATGCTACAGATATTATCCCATATATGGAACTAATAAAAGCGTTTACATTGAACAAGAGATAGTTTACTTTTGAGTATATGAAGGCAAGTTTACTAGGTTCTATTGAATTCATTTGCATTAATATGGATGAACATGTTAAATTGAGCAGAGAAATTGCTGACGATTTAGCTAAATCTGAAGATCTTAAGATGCAATTTTCAAATAAACTATCAAAACATAATAGATTTGATAGAAATTCAACAGAGAACAACAGTATCAAGTCATTTGTTCAAGAAGCTGTTGATTAATTCGTCCAAAAATCAGTTAAACTTGAGAGCCTTATGGAAAGTTCTCCTAAATAGATTCAAATTGAAATTATTTGATTGCTATATTTTAATAATAATTTCATGAACTCTATTTAATTGAACTTATGGGGTTTTGGGGTTTTGGGG